AAATTTAAAATAATAAATTATAGAAACTAAAAGGCTTAAACTTGTAAGCCTAAAAAGTTACTTCGATTTTAAAAGATATTGGAGTTCCTGAGATTTCATATAGTACAGCTACAAAAATCAATGTAGAGACTTTAATATATATTTGATTGATATGAAACTTGGTAGCTAAATATATTTTGAAATAACAAATATTTTATTTTTGAGACCAAAATCTCTATCTATAAAATTGTAGAGAATACACTATATATTCCACAACTTATTTTGTTGCAAAATAACCCTCTTTCTTGATATTTTTCAACAGGAAATCCTAGTATTTCATTAGCTTTTCCCCATTTAATTATCCCCTTCTCAGCCAAGTATATTTTCCAGTGTATTTATTGTTGGCTGAAGACAGAGCCAGAGCTAGCGATATCCGAGATACGGAAAGGAGAGGTGCGCCGTTGTTCCGGGGTTGCTGATGCTGATGCCGAAGTTGCTGTTGCTGTGCAATTTGTGGCCGGCGGGCAAAACGGATTGGCCTGCGGCCAGACATGTGAATAAAATTACATTCACTATTTTATATGCCACATGGCATAGAGTGTGTGTATGTATGGCATTTATCGGTATGTATGTATGTATGTACTGGGTGCCATGTGGAAGGAAAAATCGTATCTTATGTAGGTAGAAATAATTGAATTGGCACATCAGCTAACTTTTGTATATATACAAACATATCTATATGGAGGGGCTTGCTGGAACCAGAGATACAGATACAGAGTGCGAGAGAGCAACTCAAACCGAGACTCGGACCGGACCGGGGCAATAACAAGATTAGATCACTGAGAGAAGAGGCCGCCGGCGGCCATCCGGCAATGGAAAAGGGTAAAGCGTAAACGGAGCTGCCACTGACAATAAACATACACAGAGCGAGGTCCGAATGGCCCGACCGGACCACCATTAGCCCCCTCATCCTTCACCGCTCTGGTACTTCGCTCCGCCGGCATGTTTAAGTTTTCCTCGGAACACGGCCAGGTGAGCATTAATCAAGCCAAACAACCAAATAACTCATGGCCCTGGCTAATAGAGACATTCGGCCAAGCGAACACCGAGGTTTTATCATCTACGAAAGCTGAAGTTGAAGCTGAAACTGTATGCCAGTGGTCTCTCAGTTGGACCAACAAGAAATGTAGGAAATAATTAACACAGTTCTTAAGCGAGACTTATTTGCATTTTATTTTGTTGTTTTTTAGGGAATCTATTAATTAACTGGGGAGTGTTTTATAGTGAGAAATTTACATAGGTAAATTTAAAGCGAGCATGGAAACCAATTACTAAAATACCCATGAGTTCCCATATCATAATTATTTTTCTCCAAGATAAGAGCATTACAAAACACCAAAGAACATTGGTGAAATATAATTCAACAATGATTCCAATGATAAAACGATGACTTTCACCAATAATATAAACTAAAAAATACACAGCACATGCTTACTTGTCAAACAAATATTTATCATAAAATTAATTACTAAGTTATTAAAAATTAATTCTCCTATTAAATAATTTAATTTAAAATACAAAGAAGACTCTGGAACTGTTACCATTATTGTAGAAAAGAGTTCACCAACAAAGGTCAACAATACACCACCAATTTCCTTAATGATGAAAATCAACCAAACTGAAACTAAATAAAAAAGTACAAGCTTAATTAGCTTAAAGTTACCTTAAATTAACTGATATGGGTATGAACCTGAGACCAAGCCATTTAATTCACTTACAAATAGTTGAGAAATCCTTAACAGCAAGTCTGTGGAATTAAAGTGCCACCACATGTCCATATGTGTATGTGGTATGTGGTGTGCGTGTGTTTGGTGTGCCGTGGTAATTAAATTGGCATTAATTAAACTTACGCCGCTACTGTCGACGCGTCGCAGCAGCTCAAGTGCCGCTCATTAAGCAATTAAGGGATAATTATCAACGGCGTTGCCTTTTTGCAATTTTCATGCGCAAAGTGTTAAAATCACTTAATAGGCGGCCACATCCTGGCGAGTGTGTGTGTGTGTGTGTTGTTGTTGTTCTGCTTCTTCCGCGGCTTCCAGGTGAGTATGTAGGTGAATGTGCAAAGGTGTGTGAGTGTGATGTACGACGTGTGTGTGTGTGTGATGTTTGTGTACGCACGCGGCTGTTTGTTTAAGTGTAGCGTTAAACGCGGCCACTGACAAGCAGCGGCGGATGCCGTGGCACCTGTAAGCACCTGTAAGCAATGCCGTTTTACAGTTGTACGTATATGTGTAGGGGGGTGTGTGAGTGTTGCAATGTTGGTCCAATAACAACAACAACAAAAGCAGCAACAGCAGCAACTGACGCAGCAGCAGCAACAACGAATAGGCGGCCCGGGTCTGTGGAGCATAAGCTTGTATTAATGCAGTTATAAGTGAAGTACTCACACCCACACCTATAAATTGATACACTGAAGGAAAAGGAATAAACTTAATTAAAAAATGTTTATTTTAAAAAAGGAAAGCCCAATGGGAATAAATAATTTCAACAACTAAAACAAACTCCATTCAACTTCAAACTCAAGCTCGTATTTGGGGGTTTTTCCTTTTTGAAAGCCTAACATTATATATTTAATATTTTGTTCAGTGTATATAAAACTAAAAACATATGATAATTTATTACATCTTATGTTTTATGAAGAATAATTATGAATATAAAATTAATTGCAGGAGCTTACAATGATTGAAATAATCTCAATTTCTCATCACTTTAGTTAGACTGTGATAAATATGCAATGCATTTTTTTTCAGTGTACATTACTGACACTTTGACTGACAACAAACCGAACAGGAGCAACAGAAGCAGTTAAGCGACCGCCAACAGCCAACTGATGAGTCAGTCAGTCAGTAAAGCAATTTACAGACATCTGTTACACCTGTACACCAGTAAAACACCCCCTCAGCTGCACCCACACACACATGCAATGGAGCATTTAGGCAAAGGGACAGATGAAAAAGGGCTGGAAAAAAAATGGAAGTGAGAAGTGGGGTTAAAATGTGGAAAAAGCGTGCGAAATGCGTGGAAGCTTCGGTCACAATTAAACGGAAGCTGTGACCAGTCCAGGGAATTGAATCAGTTACACAGAATGCGAATAACTGAACAAAGAGTGGAGTATAAAATAGTTGATAATTGCTTTGAACACTTTTTAACCGGAAGGGGAAACGAGTTAATGTTGCAATCACCATTAAGGTAAATATAGGAGAAGAGTATACAGAATTCTAAAGGATTTTTTGGTTTAAAAAAATTAAATAAAATAAACTTAAAATTTAATTAAATAGATAAAATAATAAATAAATAGATACAAATATAAATTAATTAAATACATTAATATATTATACAAACATTTATGGTAGAACGTACGAGATTGAAAGTCTTAAATACTCTTCAGAGAATACTGTATCTCCGACTTAAGCAAAGCTTTTCTGACTGCTGAATGAAATATAAATATTATTTAAATTAAATTTTTAGTTGTAATTTTATGGAATGTCTGGAGCAATTTAAAAACTCTGCCCTTGGGCCCTTAATGCTACTGATAAGCCGATGAACTATTTAGGCCTTGGGTAGATGAAACTAAATACTGTAAATGCAGGGCCCACTTTCATTTCTGGGCCCCACCTGGCATGTGACCCTTATCATCTCCGGGGCTCTCTTCAGTCATCTCAGTCTGCGTCGCCAGTCCCATTCGCAGTAACCAATCCCCAGTCCTCGTGCCCATTCCCAATCCCAATCCCATTCCCATTATCATCTCTCCACCCAATTCCGATCCCCCCCCTCGAACACTTTCGCCTCGAAGCAAATACAAAAGGCCACATAAATTCCTGTTTCTGTTGGCTGCCTTTGTGGCCGGCCTTTTGTGGCTACCCATGGCGTGAGATGCTGATCCGAGACTCCATATCCATATCCATCTCTCCAGCTCCGGAGCACCAGAGCTTTAGAGTTTCAGAGCACCAGAGGCTTTGGGATCCCAGCTCCGGTCCGGTCATAAACGGATTGGCCCCGAGGTGTAAAACTTGCTGTGTTGCTGCTGCTGCACACTTTTCAAAAATGCCTGTCAATGCGTGACATTTCATATTTAAGTTATAATCTGCATGCATTACTTTCGGTTCCAAAACGGATGGCAAACCGGGAGAGGATGGGTCTGTAGAAATTTAATGGCATGCTAAATTAACTGCAGGCTAATTTTCAATAAAACTGACAGCCGTATATATGTAGGCATGTCAAAACATTAACTTTGTGAATCGGAGATAATTTAGTTTTATTAGGAAAAATCTTTAATTGTGTGGTGGTATATTAGGAGTCTCTCTGAGAGAAAATAAGACTCGACAAAATAATTCTTATCATCGAAATAATAATTATTATTCTTTGAGCGATTAAGTTAAACTTAAAAATTAATAGTTTATTAATTAATTTAATATATAAAAATCCAGATTTAAGCCATTATTGCTTATGATTGATTCGATTTTTTATTCGACCTTTCCATGTGGATGATATTTTGGTTTAAAGATAATCATTAATAATCATTATATACGGTCCCTATATTTAATATAATTTATTATAATTATGTATATATATTTTAAATTTATATAAATTAACCTTACTGTATGACTGACACTCTGCATAGAAAATTCTTAGAACTTAAAGATTTATTGCAATGTTTGAACCCAATTGATATGGCTTATCAGCAAGAAGAATCATAATTGATGAATAAAATAAAAACTTATCAATAATGTTTATGGGACATATTTTTCACTGCACGTTTTTGAAATGATTTCAATTGTTTATATTATATAGCATTGTTTGCCAGAAAACTTCTTGGGGATTTTTTGAAAGTTTATTTCAAGCTCTCAATTCAATGAATTAATTAATGATTAAGTAAATCTAAAGCCCTGCGCTTATCACCGAAATGGGAGAGCTATAAAAGCTTAGTGCCTGGCCATCGGATTATTAGTCAAGAATTTAAAATGAAGAAACGCGGAGGCATCATCATCATGCTATTCTGTGTGGCTCTGGGAAACAGACATGATTCGGTTACATTCCTAGACTCCAATTGCGGAGCTTTAACGCCAATATATACAAGTGACTCAAGTGACTCAAGTAATTCAAAAGATACATTCAGAATATTAAATGGTGGAATTGGAAATATGTTTGGTAACCCGTGGATGGCATTAATTATGACAGAATATGAGTGTAAGTAGGCAGTGTCTGTATTTTTTACCGGAACATTAAAACAAGTTGAATTTATCCATCAGGTACTACGCGTCCGGGTTTTAGGTGTGTTGGTGCATGTGGAGGCTCTCTAATCTCACCTCGTAAGTTGGTCAATTAAAATATAACAGATCTGGAAATTTAAATGAAATATTTCTTTCCAACAGGCTTTGTCCTCTCTGCCGCACATTGCCGCTTTAGCACATCTACGTAAGTGGTTTTGAGATCTATTGAAATGTATGCTTTGCATTAAAGTAATTAAAGCTATATTAATTTTATATATTATGGTGTATAATTGAATCTATAATTGAAGAATTTCTCCCTTGTAGAACTATTACTCTGGGCGCGTTCGACTGGACAAAGCCAGGCCCAAATTCCATCACAGTTCCTGCCAATTTACAAATACGTCATCCTTATTACGTAAATAGAGATATAACTTTTAAGAATGATATAGCTCTATATCGACTGGCTCGGGCAGTGAGATACACAGGTAAGAATAAGAATCTATTTTTCAGCCAAGACGGATTTGTTAACTTAAAATACCTTTGCCACAGAATTAATCAGGCCCATTTGTCTGCCTACCAACTTCAATCCCTTGGACAATATAACGCATCTAACTGCCTCCGGTTGGGGTAAAACGGAATTTGGACATATGAGCAATGTGCTCATGACAACTACCTTGGAACAGCACGATCGCACGAAGTGTTCCAACACTTTTATAGGAACTGTGGACATGTCCCAGATTTGTGCCGGATCCTCTATGTCCCAAGCTTGCAGTGGAGACTCGGGAGGGCCTATTACATCCGTATATCCCATTGACGGCACCAATCGCGTTATTCAGCTAGGAATTGTCAGCTATGGAGGCCCAAATTGCAGAACTGTTGGGGTCTTTACCAATGTAATGTTTTATATGAACTGGATTATAGAAATAGCTGGAAAGGGCAAGAGCGTTAGAACCACGCCACTTCCAAGAGAATATTATTCCGCTCATTATTAATTAAAAGCAAAATACTTAAATTAGAATCATAATAAATAAGTTATAAACTTATTACTTTAATTCTAAGAATAATAAATAAATGATTTCCAATATATTACTGAATATTAATTAAGCAAAAGACGTATAATAGACAATTTATTAGCTAGTTAAAATAATTTATCCTTGCATATCCTTGCAGCTATTATCATAGCCCGAGCTGTGAGTTGAAATGAAGGGAAATGAGTGCAAATGAGATGAGACAAATATACATGGCCATCATGCCTGTTTTAGAAATTAAACAAAAACTTAATAAATACCTGCAAGCCATTGAGTTGCAATTAATAACGGGTTAAGCCACCCCAATCCCACCCACAATAGGAGTTAGGCGGTGAGGGTGTATATTGGCCATCCTGCTCCCACGCTCCTAACTGTTGCCGCTGTCCGAACATGTCCCAAGATATTCGAACATGTTCGACGGAGTTGGAAACATTGAAACCAGTTTTCAAGGCTTATCACAGCCAGCGCATCTAAATTATCAGTGCCGGCAGGCGGGCACATAAACACAACGTCGCAACATGTTGCAACTGAGGCAGAAGAAGAAGCTGCAGCTTTGATACTCCACTGGCGGGGCATGAAGAGGGGTTGATGGTTGGCCCCCCAGGGCAAAAACACACCGAACGAGCGAGCGGGATGGATGCGGAGACAGAGAGAGCGAGCGATTTGGACTGCCTGATGGCTTGGCTGATGTCGCTTCCAAACGGACCCATTCCCCCTCCCCCCTTGCCTGCCTGCCTGCCTGAATGCCTGGAAACCCCCCTCTGAACGTCCCGCCACTGTTCCTACTCCTCCTTGGCCGCAGGACATTCGCTTGTAATTATAATATTTCATCCCAAAAGTAGCTCCCAGGCATCAGTCAGTCTCGGTTTGCGGTAAGTGCGGGGAGCTGCAGGAGAAACCGGCAAGGGGGGACGGGTGGAGGTGAGCAAGGGGGAGGCGGGTCCTGAGGGGCCGGTGGGTTTTGGCAACAATGCAGCAGCAGCCAACAATGATGAATTTTTGAACTCAACGTGTAAAAGGTACAGTGATGCCTGCCAAGGCATGGCAGGTATTCAGGCTTCACCTGATATTTTGTGAAATTCGGTTTAATGTAGGTGATATTAAATATTAGAAATGTATGGATTCACCATAGAATATCCTGTTCCCTGCGAGAAGAATCTAATGTTAATTATTCTAGAGACAATTTAAAAGATATTTCCTCACAAAACTATCTATCGAAACTATTTTAATTTTAAAATGTGTGTTAAAAAAAGCATTAATTTATTTGTTTTTTTTTATATTTTTTAAAGAGTTTATTTTAAAGATCCTTCCATTAAAATCCCCTCCAAAATATATGCCATAACACATTGTCAGTGCACCCAGTGCTCTGAATCTTTCGAGCTTTCCCCATCTGCGATTGCGACTGCGAGTCGCTGATTCTGATTCTGACCCCCAAAAGTCACCTCCGCGTGTTAACCTCCCTCCCCACCCGCACATTCACATAACCCAGGGCAGTTCAAGGGCTAAAGGATTTCCCATTTCTTTTCGCATTACTCCCGCATTGTTTGCTTATTAAATAGCTCAGCTCAGCTCGCCTCGGCTCGGGCATAAGGGGCGCGGCTCTTCTCACTCCGTAAATTAGCCGTCAATGGGTTGGCGGACCCCAATCTGGAATCCGGAAAGCCAGGGTTCCGAAAACCCAAAAATGCCCGAGTGCCGAGAGCGTTTAAAAACGCTGACACATGAAATGCAATTCACGGCAGCGACGGGGCAGCGATGTCAGAAAATGGTATTAAGTGCAGTCGCGGCGCTTGACAGGCGCTCATGAGGCTCATTGCCGATGCTGTGGATGGTGGACTCCCCGGCACCGAGCACTCCACATTGTGGAAATCCTGCGATTTTGTGATTTCTGGTCAAGCGCCCCGACTTGGCCTGCTTTGGCATTGTGATAAATTGAGCCAATGGCCCGCCAGGCTGCAATCATATTGAACGCTAAAATAATGCCTCCAATACCTGCGACAAGGATGCACTTGAAGAAATAGGGGGTTTAAACTTAATGGAAAATATATATTTTTTCAGCTTTATATTTAATTGAATATTATATTTACTTATAATTTGTATTTTATATTTAAAATACTGGTTGTAGCTATAATATTTCCCGAGATAATTGTATTAACTTCGAAAATCAAAATTAAAAATTATAAATTACTTAAACTCCAAGTTTAATTAGTCATCTTGCTAGCTTATTACTTTAAAGTTCCTACCCTAAATCACTCGATATATTAATGAAAACCCTAAGAACCTCCTTCAGCTTAGATACTTTCAGCTTTCTTCAAGTGCACCGCAGCTCCTCTTCGATGCCGTTCGACTCGATTCATATTACCGCATCGTTTGCGGCGACATTTAATTAAAATTTCTTTCAGCTGATACGATGTGGTCTGGGCCAAAAGTTTTTGGTTGTCCCCCATCGCCATGGCCAATGCCAACGTCGCTGCTGCTGCTGCTGCTGCTGCTGCTGCTGCTGCTGCTGCTGCTCCTGCTGCCATCGCCGCCACCTCGTTTTGGCCGCGTTTATCAGCTGCAATTTAGTGGCTTGAAGATAACTCTTTTGCCCGCTCTCTCCGAGCTGCACTTAATAGCCAAATATGCATACCAATTGGCCCAGAATTGGACATGGGCTGAGGATAGGAGTCCAGCCGAGGAGCTTGGCCCACGCAGAGCGGCCATAAAACGACGCTTAATGACTCCGAAATGGAGCCTGGGCCATTGTTATTATTATGATTATGGTGACTATGAGCCGCTGCTTATCTGCCAGGATTGTAGGAAGCATTGTCTCCTCGCAGGATATGTGTGTGCCAATATTACACATACGCCGCATAGGCAGCGTTTTAATTTCCCGTGCAGAACAGGAAGTGCATTCACAAAAATTTAACGGAACTCATGCCGCATTGCTGATGACGTTTCCTGTCTACCATTTTGTTTGTCTGCCGCCAAAAGATGTGGCGGGAAATGTGGGACGATTATTCTTGGAAATGGAACTAAGTTGAAAGGGGTTTTTCTGGGATTTAAGAAAATAAAGTGGTGGAAAAGGTTTAAATAAAATTTAAATGGACAAATTAATACATAAGAAGGAGTTTAAATAATTTCAAGACCGAGCTAATATTTAATTTTTTAAAAATCACGTTTATGAATATTCATTTTTCATGAAATATTTATACAAAAATATATTTTTCAATACCGATTGTCTTCAGTCAAAGGCTATGCATTTCACAAACGAGACTTTTACCTGAATCAAATTATGCACTTCAATGAGCAGGCCGTTGCAAATGTCAAAAGTCGATGCAGTTTAAACACAATTTAATTAATATTCGAATGAGTGAATAAGCGCAACAAACGAGGCTTTCCACTGGGGTTTTCCTCCCCCCTCTCTCTCTCTATATGCATATATCTCTCTGTGCGAGAGCATTCGGCTGGAAATTTATGCAACTGACAGTTGCACACAACAAAATCCAAATCAAAGTGCGTTTCAAGGCATCTCTCTAAATAATTTGCCGCCCCCCAAAAACCCCATTCCAATTAATTGAATCAATTCAATTTCGACTATTCGCCTTGTGTTGACTTTTTTTATGATTAGTATATTTTTTTCCCCGAAGTTCAAACGCAATTAAAGCCGTCTTCAAGTCAGAGACGGAGTCAAGTCAAGTCGTCGCGTCGGCCGAAGTCCTGTGTCGTCCTGTCAGCTCCTTTTCTGTCCAACGGAGCCCGCAAGCCAAGTTCTTGCCTCAAATAACCGGCGGCAAGGCGATGGCAAAGAACCGCCAACAATGCCAAAGCGGCAACAACAACTACAGAAACGACTGAAGACAAATACGGGGAAAAGGCGAAAAAAGCAACAACAACTGCATTTTAGTTGCGCCATACCAAATGGCCGCCAGCAGTGGCTACACTGGGAGAAAAAACAGAGATAATTTGTTAAATATTTTAAGAGGTATAATACCCTTGCAGGGGATTATAATTTCAGTCAGAAGTTTGCAACGCAGTGAAGGAGACGTTTCCGACCCTATAAAGTATATATATTCTTGATCAGCATTACCATGCGAATCTTTCTAGATATGTCAGGAAGAAATCGATTTTTTGGGCATTTTTGCGAAGTTTGATAAGGGGTTACATCATTAAAATTTTTGATTTTGATAAAAAATTGAATTTTCAAAATTTTTAAATGAAGTATGCAGATTTATTAACTGTAGAAAATCTTGCCCAGAACAGTTTTCCGATTTAAAATTAATTATCTTTTGGCCGAGTTATGATATTTTTAATTTTAAAAAAATCAAGAAGATTTTTAATATAAAAAATCCGATTTTATAATACAAAATAATATTTTCCTAGGTCAAGGAATCATTTCCGACCCCATAAACCATATATATTCTTGATCAGCACTAACAGGGGAATCTTTCTAGACTTGTCCGGAAGAAATCGATTTTTTGGCCATTTTTGTGAAATTTGATAAGGGGTTACATCATTAAAATAAGCAAAAATGGCCAAAAATTTTGATTTCTTAAAATTTTAAATTTGGTATGCAGTTTTTTTAAATTAATAAAAACTAACACAAAACTGCTTTCCGAATCGAAATTAATGCATTTTTGGCTTAGTTATGATATATTTTAATTGTTACCTGCAAGTGTATACAAACTTCGGCTGGCCAAAGTTAGCTTTCTTTCTTGTTATTTTTAAAAATTATAACATCTATTATTTAACTAATAACAAAGAAAGCTTACTTTTACAGTTTTAAATTGATCATTACTTAGCCAAAAATGCATTTATTTCAATTCGGAATTCAATGTGGATTTTAAGCCTAATAAAAATTTAGAAAAAAATGTTAAATTTTATTTTTCCACAGGACATGGCTAAATCGACTCGACTATTGATGCTGATTAAGAATATATATTATTTAGAGGGTCGGAAATTACTTTTAACTAAAATTTGAATACCGTGCAAGTTTACATAAATGTTAATACACTGCAAAATCTTAAAACTGTATACAGAATTCTATAAAAACTATAAAATAAACCAAAATATTAGTTAACACTATTTTTACTTTATTTTCACTAGACTAACATATAAATATAACCTCTTTATCTAAGTTAATAGTCTCCTCCTAATTCTTCTAATTTTAAAAATTACTTTCTTTCAGTGTCACGCTGTTTATGTACAACGGCTTATGTACTAAGTGCGGAACCAAGTTGAAGGAGTTGCGGATGAGAAGCGCTGCTGCCGCTGCATGACTGTACTGGAAAAAGCGTCGCTGCGTGAAAAAATGTCCTGCGGCGGGCAGCAAAGCCGACGGAGGCAGCGACAGCGCAGTCCTTGCGCATCGCTGTGTTAATGTTGCCGCAGGACTTAGACGCTTTGATGAGCGGCCAAGGGAGCAGGAGCCGGAGCAGGAGCAGGAGCAGGAGATGGTGGCAGGGATGCCACGGAAGCAGGCGGAGATAGAAGCCGAAGGATAACCGGCGGCGATCTGCCAGAATGATGGGTCGTGGAGAATCGCCCAAGGATCTGCGCCTGCGCAACTAATACGGATGGCTTGCAGCTGGTACTACTGCAACGACAGTCACTGTTGCAACAGTTGCAACTATTCTGTTTTAATTGCATATTAATGCGAAAATGTGTGAAATGCGCCCGCAGGACACTACGTGAAAATTCACGGCAAAGCAGCCCTTGACACTAGAGTCGATTGAATCGGTGCTGATTATACATATAAATTCAGTTTCCTTGTCGATTCTAAATAGGTCATATAGCAAAGTAACTTAAAAGGACTAACTTAAAAGCAAAGTTTTTTTTTAACTCGGGTTAAGATATCAACGATAAGACCCTGTAAGTTAAACTGGAAAACAATTCATAGTTTTTTTTAATTATTTAATAATATAATTTTGTAAAAAGTTCGACAAAACTTCGGTGGATTTTTAGAGTTCCCCATATTTTGAGGCAACTTGGTAAGATAATTTTTCATTAACTTACATATATTATCAGCACGAGTTTCCTTTATGTTAGTCGTAGCAAGGTTACCAAAGGCAAGGATATATTAATCGAATCGGTTGATAGAATTGAAAGTTTTACCAAAAACCTATACGATTTCCCTCTCTACAATTGACGGATAATTTCGCTTAAATTTTAAGAAAATCCTTCTATTCCGATATGAATATGTATAAGGGCAAAGAGAGCGTCTGCTCATCTAAGGATAAGACCTTGAATTCTTTGTCTACTAAGAACACGCTTAAGAAAGTTTGTGGGACCTCCAAGGTAAGTTGTTTTCAAATATTATTAAATTACATAATATCTTTAAACCCTTTACCCCCAAATAACCACCGAAAACAGTACAAGGGGTGCTTAATTATATATTTATAAGGTTTCTTGATATTAACCCATTTTAATTACACAATATTTTCATTTAATTTTTATTATTTATTTAGTTTCAAGGGAACCAAGTCGATTTCGGGTCCCGTCATGTTATTAAACGTCGGAAACAAGCCAAAGTCCCCAAAATCATGGGAAAAACTCGGAAGACCTCACATCCGTCTCAAGTTAAACCTAATTATATGAAGAAACACTCTTCTTTACCATCCTCGAAAGCCAAGAAACAGAAAGCCTTTAAGTTGGCTAAGAAAAAAGCTGGGGAAAATGTGAAATTCAAACTCAGGGCTGTAGGGAAAATTGTACAATTCATTGGTGAGAGTGGTTTCAATCATAATTATTTCCCTTTTTAATAACAATTTTATTATTTTAAAGAACTATTTTCAGGCTGCAATGCCGCCTTCCTCATCTTCCAAGTGCTGGTAATCTTTATTTTCCTGGTCTATAACTTCCTCTCGCCGATATAAAGACTTCAAAACTGATGATAAGGTGTTTCAAGTACCTTATGCAATATCTAGGAATACTAAATTTACTGAAATTCCAATTTCTTAATCATAAAAGAAAGCATTTCAATAATAAAACTGCTGCACTGTTTTATTCAGTTCAATTTCAATGGCGAAATATTTATTGTAAAATATTTATAAATGGATATTTTGTGCTGTTTTCTCACTGTTATTTTTGCTGCTGTTTTTCGCTCCCCAACCAAAGTGTTGAATCGAAATCGCGGTCTAACGCCTCCTTTGGCGGCGATTCCCCACACCTGACGCGCTAACAAATGAAAAACAAATATTAAGCTTTTGTTGTTTGGCCAAAATAGAACCAAAAAACCAGCACGCACACGCGAACACAGCAACGAAATTGTAAAGTGTTAAAAATAATAAATTATTTCTGTTATTCTAAGTGGTATTAGAAAATGTTCATGCATAAATTTAAATTGCCGGTGTGCTCGCGTGTGTTGCAAAAACATTGCCAACGTTTCGACACAAATTGAAATTCCATTGTCAAAGGAATGAGTGGGGCGGGCAGAGTGCAAAAATAGATGGATAGATAGTTATTCTTTATCCACCTGCCGCACCTTTATCTCGATATCTCCTGACATCAAATAAATGTCACGGCCTCCGGCCCGCCTAATCCGTGGACTTAATCCCTCGGGGGGGGCGACTCAAATTCTGGCACAATTTATGTAATTTGAAAATATTTTTGTGAGCCGCTAAAGATGCTCGTAAATCACTCGTACTTCTCGTCTTTTGGCCCACAACATCGAACGTGTTCGAGGCTCAGACGAAAGAGCCGTTGCAACTGCCATTTACAACGTAAACACAACACAAACAATGCGGAGTATCTGACGGATGGAAGGGGAAAGGGAGCAGAGTATCTTGCGGATGCCCGGCGGGCTACTTCTTATTCTCAGCTCTCCTCTTTCACTATCCGAATATGAAATCTGGCCCCTGGCCACTGGCCTGACAAGACCGAAGTTCCCCCCACACACACACACAGCTCCCAAACAAGGGGGAGAAAAACTCTAATTGCAACTGAAAATCAAGGTATTTCCCAGGGATTTTTTATTGGTTTGGGAACTCATTTGTACAATCAATGCTTTTAAAAATTGTATTTCAAAAATAAATTAAATAAGCTATAAAATCGAATATATAAATACTCAATGCATCTAAGAATAATAACAAATTATATTTCATAGATATATTTAATAGATTGATAGATTTCCCCTGAATGAAACCTCTTAATAAGCCACAAAATTAATTACTATTTTATTGGACATGTTAATTAGTCAGAGGCTTTTCCCTTCAACCATTAGGCGGGCTTATTAATTTTGGCTGGAGCCTCCCTAAACGCAAATAAGCAAAACTTGGCTTGAAGGCCTCCCCACCGAAAAAGCTGAAAACCGAAAACACCAAAACCCCAAACGATGGATGCCAATTGAACTGAGGGCTATATTCTCACATATAGGGAATGTGGGAACTCTTTTTTTGCCTTGAACACACAGAGCGATGCCACAAATGCCACAGATACACGGATGCAAACGGAGACCCGAGACCGGAGAGCCGAAACCGAAGCCAAGAGACCTATCTTCTTTCGAAGCAACAATGCGGCAAATGTCCCTGGGGCAATATCTCCGGCTCAGTGCGACTACGACGCTCATTTGTTTCACAGTCGTGGACAAGATAATCGCCAATGTCCGCCGCTTAGAGAAGCGGTAGAAGAAGGCGGAGAGAAGGGCTCTAGTAAAATACTCTTCGTTTTCTGTTGCTGGGGGAAATGTATCTCAATAATTTTCACACGAATTTCAAGTCGAAATGAAGTTGTTCCAATCCCCCAGATTGAGCCTGGGCTAAGACCACTTCATTTGCGGCATTTTAGCCATGTCATCCAGTCAGCCAGTCAGCCAGTCAGTCACTCAGTCAACGAGTTGTGGCAGTAGCAACAGCTGTATGACATAGACACATGCAACCAGCTTACACACTCTCCCCCCACACACACACTCAGACTCATATATGTTGTGCTGCTCAACCAAGTTGCCTCCTCCAAAGAGACGGTAACTGAAACTGTCACAACGTCAGCGCGGACACCTTTGGCGCTGGTTCGACTTCATTTGGGAATCAGGATACCAGGCACCCCCTTTTCCACCCACTCCACACCCCGACTCCCCCTGGCTGCTCAAGCTCCACCAGGTTGCCATGACTGCTAAAGCTTCGGATACAGATATGGCAGTGCAGAGAAAACTAAAACATAAACCTTTTGAAAACATATTTTGAATTAAAAAAATTATATTAAAATATTTACAAACCTTTGAATTGTATCTTTACGCATTTATTCTAGATTTAAGTCCTATTTACATTCCCTTTTCTTTAAAATACCTCTCCCTTTTCTTTATTTTTTCGTTCAGTGCACAGATACAGCTTCGACTACGGCTTCAGTCCAAGAGCAAGCCAAAGCCAAAGCCTGATGCCAGGGCCGAAATGGAGGAGAGCAGAGCTCTGGGGCCTGTTTCGCTTGTAATTATAATATTCCAGCCAACCCAGAACTTGGCTTCAGGCCAGAAACAGGAAGATGAAGCGGCGTCATACGGAACTCTTGTTGTTCTTGCTGTTGTCGTATTGCATGTGCCACAGCAGCAGCAGCAGCAGCAACAACGAAGACGGCTACGGCTACGGCGACTCCGACATCGCCTGCAGACTTTGCGGATGACCTCGAGCGCCACAAATGCTGATTACGAGGCCGTCGCACCAACAACAGCCAGAGCAACACAGCAACACAGCAACATTCAGCAGCATTCAGACCCCCATCAGGCAAACCAAAAAAAAATATATATAAAAGGAGAGAAAAAGGGAACCTGGCTAGCCAAAAGGTTCCACGATGAAGATGGAAATACCCTAAAAAGAAGAGGTATTAAATTTTATTATAGAAATATCCTTACAGGAAAGACTTGTCAATAGTAAAATTGAAAATGTATCTCCAAAAATACATTTATATATTAAAAGCAGGTAAATTTCTTTAAGTTATTTCTAATATTTAATATTTTAATCTAAAGCTCAATTGTTTAGTCTAAAACTTAAATAAATATACATTATTTCTGATTTAGGGCCTAAACTCTTGCCCTGGCTAAGAAACCACAAGAGGAGGTTGCCAACCTTTTCTGCTTTTGTATGGGGGTGTGCAAGCATGAGGGTGTATCTGTATGGCCAGGGGGTCCTTCCCCTGCCACAACAACTCCTTTCCATACTCCCACTACCGCTGCTCGTGGTCATGCTGTGCGTGGACAGGACATCGCTGGAGCTGTGGCCCATTTACATAGCTTGAGGTATTTCAATTTATTTCATTGTGCTTTTCATATTATTGTATTTGCAATTTTGATTGCAGTTGCCCTGGGTGGGCGGTGAGAGGGTCAGAGGGCATATATATATATAAATATATATGCAAAAATCCGTATAGAGGCATTTCGAACGCAGATTGACAGGCTTCGGCGAGCGATAACTTGATTATTTTCCATTTAAATTTTCACATGAGCAAATTGCACACACTTATACACACACAAAGGAAAAGCGAACGCTCTAGGCGGCGACTCGACATTTTTCTTATTATGAGAAATAATATTTTAGTCAAATATTTGATTTAAATACGATAACTTGGCATTAAGTAAATAAACATAAATAAGACAAAAGACAAGGAAACAACAAATGTCAGATCAAATGTGTGCCCAGCGGCCAGCTTTTGATTTTTATGCCCGACGTTATTGTCCTTGCATGGCACTTGCAGCACACCGAGAATTATCAATTGCAACGACATTGATATATGATGGCTGTCGAATCGGAAACAACAATAATAACAGGACGCAGCACAGCAAAAAAAAAAAAGAGATGAAAGCCAGAGCGGAATTTATGTGGCCAGCGGATAGAATAAAAGTCATAAAATCAATGAACAAATTGCACTCAAACGTACTTACAGATACGAGTATCTGAGTATCTGAGTATCTATGCATCTGCCTATCTACAACGACATCTCCTATCCAGTTCAATCAAGCGGAGATTTTAAGAGCCAGCTTAAGCTCACATACTTTATTATCGTTTCCGTTTTCCGGGCTCCTTAATTACACAACTCTCTTCGGGATTGCCATTTAACTCGGGTCTCATTGGCACTTGGCAGCAGAGCCTCTTCGTCGGGGGAAAAGGCTAGGACTGAGAGCACAATTGAAATCCTTCATTAAGCGCTGCTCGGCCGGAACAAATGTGTCATGTTCAATTCGAGGAAATATCTTTCAAATGGCTTGATTTTAATTGCAGCCTGTCGTCCCTGGCCGAAACAACAGGCCGAAAGAACAATGCCAGGCATCGGAGTTTGGTAACAAACAATTGCCGAAAATTGAACAGACAGAATGAATATTGAAAATGAAAAATAAATACGTTCAAAGTGCTCAGAGTAGGTGGTACAAAGCAACCAGAAGCGTTCTCAAGGGGGTGCTTAAATATCGAAGAGAATGAAAAGAAATTTAAATTTTTATGTCGAAAAACAACTGATAAACTTCTTACTTGTTAACTAATTTAAACTCAATTAAAAATAAATATATATATATACAATAAACTGCTTATCTCGCCTTACTTCAATCATTTTGTGAAATATTATTTGTAATTATTGTAATATTTCAATATATATTGTATATATTTTCTAAGAAACTCTTTATCAATTTTCTCCGAATTTACAAAAACATAAACAAATCGTTTGCAATTTTTACTAAGCTATAAAAGCAAATTAAATTGCGATTTACACCCACAGTTAGTCTCAGTTTCAATATGAACCTTGTTGAATCTATCATCATCTTAGTATCCTTAGTGATCCTGATAAATGGAGCACAATTCCTGGAGCCGAACTGCGGCATTTCGATTTCGACTTCACGTTCGAGACCAAGAGTAGCCGGTGGTCAGGTGGCTGATATGTTTGCCAATCCCTGGATGGCCTATGTATATTCCTCGAAATCAGCATGTGGGGGCTCGCTAATCACAAACCGTAGGTTCTTAGATCAAAGAACTTAAGAAATAGTAAATAATACAAGTTTTTCATCAGGCTTTGTACTTACTGCGGCCCATTGTCTGCATTATGAGTATACGTAAGTATTAAAAAAATAATAATTAATTTAAATTTTGTATTAAATATTAGTTTTATGGTTCTTAAAACAGGATAGTAGTGCTAGGTGAATTCGACCTGTCTTCTCCTACCGATTGCTCGGTTAGAGGCTGCATGCCCTATGCTATCCGCGTGCCCGTGGATCAGCAAATAGCACATCCTCGGTATGTACATCATACCAGAGATGACATTGCACTGATTCGACTGGCCAGATCGGTGCAGTATACAAGTTAGTTAATATACTATACGAAATATTTAAAGTATTTATAATATTTATTGCTAATTACTTGCTCTTCCCTAGACTACATCAAACCTATTTGCCTGCTGACCAACTTAAATCCTTTGAATACTCTCAGATACCTGACCGTCACCGGCTGGGGTTTAACTCAAAACGGACGTCCCAGCCATATATTAAAAACCCACACCTTGCAGCAACGCGATCGTTTATATTGTGCTAGAAGATTCAACTTCAGAGTGGATATGTCTCACATTTGCGCCGAGAGTAACAATTCGAAATCCTGCAAGGGAGACTCTGGGAGCCCAGTCTCGGCCCCCTTGAATTTGGGTGGCACCACTCCACGCACAGTTCAGTTCGGAATTATGAGCACTATAGGGCGAGGCTGTAATTCTGTGGAGGTTTACACGAATGTCATGCACTATATGGGGTGGATTAGGGAAGTTGTGCGACGAGGTGGCTATCAGAGGCCTCAATATCCCATCCGAAGTCCCACAAGTTATTATTATTCGCCCTTTTACGGTTAAGGTTATCAATATTTTTATTGAATATATATTAATTAATTATTTTTATATATTTTCTATTAAGGTTATCATGTGAAATAAATATAAAAAGCTATTATTCAAAGTAAAATTAATGTTTACTACAGCAAAAAGGTTGCCGTGAGCTTATCTGTATAAATTTCTGCTATATTTGTTTGATATATTTATATATTATGTACATGTAATATTGGTCTAAATATTTCTGAAACCAATTTCTTTTAAATTTAATTCTGAGAACTCATTAACACATTTATAGTAACATATCTCCGACAAAGCAAGCTCGATCACAGGTCTTTAGTAAGTCTGATATATATTCAGTTATTTTCCTTTCTAATACTAAAAAATAAAACTTAAAATACATGCTAAAATCTGTATAAATACATCGAATCAAATATATCATACCTTTCAATCCCCTTTAAAGCCTACGCCTCAGTTTAAACCCTGTTTCCAGATGCAACAACTAATTGCAACCTTACCAGCATGAAGCTACAATTATAAGAAATATGAAATTTTAGTCCGACTCTTATTTCTAGCAGCATTTGCCAAAAATTTCTTTTTTAACTTGTGTGTGTGTGCCTGAAAGTGCGCATTTCAATAGGGTTCCGGTTCCACATACGCCCACAAAACACACACATGGCGCACACACTCCATTCCCCAATAAATCAGAATGCAAGAACTGACCAAATACAAGAAACGAAAAATGCATAACGAAAGCATAAATTGCCAACAATAAATAACCGAAAAAATTGTAAATAAAGTTGCAGCACAAATATTTCATAAAAGCAACAACCGAACGAGAGCCGGACCAACTGAATCCCAGCTTAGGGCTAAAGAGCAGATGCCAAAAAGCGAGGAACGAGGTAAGACACCATGGCACGGGCAGCAGCCCCAGCAGCCTCAGCATCCCGGAATCCCAGCATCGAAGCAGTTGGGCAGCAGGCAGCAAACAGCAGACACCAAATGCCAAACACCAGGCGAGGCCAAAAGTATTTACGGCCAACTTAACACATGCCAGAAATGGCAGCGTGACACGAAATTAATAGGGCAAAGTTAGCTGAAATTTGGGAAAAATATAAGTGTTAAATGGGGATTTCTAAAAAATAAAAAAAATATGGAAGAGGTATAAGAAAAAGGATATAATGGAAAGCGCTAGTATCTCCCAAGGTAATAATTTTTATAAATAATAAAATTATATCTTCAACTATCACCAAAATTAGGAAAACACAATTTAAATTTTGGAGAAACTATTTTAAAATAAAAAAGCCAATTATTTCAAGTTTTTCATTCGCTTTTAAAATATTTAAAAACCCTTTTAATTATCTTTAAAATTCAGCCCCTCACGCCCCCACACCTAGCTCCCACACACGCCCAGGAGGCCAACTGCAGCAGCAGCTCTTGGTCTTTCCCTTAAGAAGCGGGTGGTGGCCAGGAGGGGCTGAGGGGTTGCGGCTGTCGTATCGAAAAACCAAAAAGTAAAAACGGCCCCCGGCGAATGTTGCAAGCAGCGCCAGAGCCAAAGAGAGATAAGCAGCGGCAGCGGCAACTTAACATTTAAGGGGGTGTGGGGAGGAAAGGACGGCCGGTAGATATGCAAACAAATTTCATACTTGGCCCAATGCTTAAACTCCTCAATTGGCTAAAAGCGTTATTGTGTGTGTGTGTGTGTGTGTGTCTGTGCGAGCGCTATCTAAGCGTGGCACGATTATTGTTATTATTGTGGCTAGCAGGCGGCGGGGCAGTTAGTTAGTCGATGGGTTTAACTATTTATTTGCATAAGAGTGCAGCTAGAATTTATTATTTATTTATGGCACTCGTAACAGGTAGTAACAGGTAGGTGAACCTGCCAAGGTGCCTCGATGTATATATCCTTATTCTTATTACTTTATAAATAGCACACAAGGCGAAGGCATCAGGACTTTTGTCAACGCAATGCCACAGAATGTTGCAAAATAAACGAAAAATAAATAAGGAGCAAGTGAAATAATCTCAGGGGTACAAGAAGACGAACACGGAATACCCTGGAATGGGAGAAGATTTAAGAAATATATTTTAAAATAAATATACAATAGTTTACTAAAGTAATTAAAGTAAAATAAATTATATTTCAAACTACAAGGCCTCTAATTTTATTTATTTCACATCCCTCTTTTTTTAAGGATTATGTTCTACCCTCTCTATACCCTTTATAATCCATATTTCAGCCATAGAATATATAGGTTTTCTTAAAAATAACACATATAATATTAAACTGACCACTGCAATTTATAAAACCCAATATACCCCCTATACTTGCCCCTCCAAAAGAAAGTCCTGGGTGTGGCGGAGAAAGGGAGAGACTTGGCGGTCATATAAGAACACCAAGAGGAGCAACAACAAAGGCGAGTACCGCTGGCGATGGAGAAATAAGAGCGAGTCAGCGGCAGCGGTGGCAACAACAACAAATTGGAATATATGGCTGGCAGGCATAACGGTGTTCATAATAATGATGGCGTGGTCTCTGAAAAGAACCATGACGGAGGAGCGACCGCAGCGGAATCACCAGCAGGAGCAGGAGCAGAAGCTGCCGCCAGGAGCCAGGGAGTACAGGGAGAAAGAGAGAGGGAACAGGGAGCAGGCCGAGGGACCAGGCCGAGGCCGAGGCAAGGACAACATGGCCGCAACATAATGAAAACGAAGGGAATTTTCAGTTCGCGAACTCGGCGACAAGGATGATGATGACGACGACGACGAGGGGCAACGACGCACGAAACCGCACCAAATGCCCGCCGGCCATTGCAAGTTCTCAAGTGCTTCCGGCTGAGAGGTTGCCTACCCAGAATGGGCCACAACCAGAATGGGAACGAGCACGAGGACAGAAGAGGAGAATGGTGATAGAGAAAGGAGAACGGAGGGTTTTGCACCACCCAGTGCCACCCGCTTCCATCAAGCCACATCAACGGGCTTCCTGCACCGAGGAAAAATATTTTAATAAAGCAGGACTTAAGCCTAGGAGGCCAGGATTCTCTGGTAGTCATTAACAGTACTTTGATATAATGTAAGGCAATCCTAAAAGATTAATGTGTAGCCCCATTTTTCCTCAGTGCAACCCTTATACTCACCTTCCTACCTACCAATATTGTCATGTGGTTTTCTTTGCCAATGGAGGAGGCAGGCAGCTGGAGCCGGAAGGTGGCAGCTAGCAGGACGAAGTGGAGGCAAGTCCTGGTTGACTGCCACTAACCATTGAGCTTCATCAGCAGGCAGCGACGACAACGACGACTACGATGATGATGACGACGTCGACATCATGGGACGGAAATGAGTGAAGCGTGACATTTGCTGCTCCTGCGATGTCACGCTACGCTGCTCTTCTCCGCTCCTTGCGCTTGCCATCTCTTTATCCTTTCCTCATGCTCCTGTGTCCTTTTCTACCGCCACCACTCCCTGCTTCTCACATGTGAGCCGCGGGCCAGGCAAAAGGAAACTCCTCGTATAACGCAAATTAAAAATCGCACTGCGAATGCAAGACATCCCGGTAATGGGAAACTAGCGCGCGTGAGTGTATGTGCGAGGGGAGAAGTCGCCAAAGAAAGGTCTCCTGCGGTTCCTTAGAGTATGCAACGCTTTTTTAATTAGCCCTCGACCAGGTATAAGGATCAATTTCAAAATATAACAATCAATTATAAATAACAAATTATCCATTTTGAACCTTTAATATTCCTTTAATTTTTGACCCCTTTAAGTAGCGCAAATAATGTAGAAAATGGCCCGGGGGAAAGGTAACATTTCAACATCAAAACAAATGCATAACAAAAGGTGTAACACACATATCATGCATATTTTGAGGAAAATTGCCTCTAACGCGCCGCTGTCCGCTTTTCCAACAGCCCACACTCATACTCTTCCACCTCCCCCCTTGCGAACCTCTTCCCCACCCACCCGTTTTTAGCCTGGTGCCGCAATCAACCTTTGGCAGCGGCTCGCGTTTTTGACTTGCCAGCGGCCAAATATCGATGTAAAGAATTAAAAACATAGGTACATGCGTACTGAGGGCGGCGCTCTGTCCCCGGGGCACTGAATCCTGACGAATTGAGGGGTTGGGGGGGGGATGTGTGCCGGGGCTAAAGGACAGGGGTGGCCTAAACTGGGAGAGTCGAGTAGATACAATAAAACATGCAAATATGCGCCCAAGGACATTGCAACAACAACAGCAGCAACCACAACAACAATAGCAGACACACACAGCGCCAAAGAACGCAGCCCAAACATCAAACACACACGGACATAGAGAAGGTCCTTTGGTGGCGGCATGACCGCAGGTGTACACCCATACACACACACACACTCAACATCAGATGTGTGTGTAGATGTGCGGCAGATACCAAAGGGTATAAAGTTTATTTAGCTTTAGACGAAATTAAAGGCCTTTGTATATTAAGTAACCCACGTGGAAGGCATCATCCATCCATACATAAATGCAGTGCGATAACAGAACACACACACACACACATATCCTGGGAGCCCCACAGCCTGGGAGTGTTGAAGTTGTACATAAAATATGCCGCTGGCCGTTCTAAACATACCAAAAATGAAATTTATACCAGAAAGAGGCAAAAAAAAAGAATATAAAACATATAAAAAAAGAAGGAGGAACGGAATGCGAACCGAATTCGTTTCAAATGTTCATTGGAGTGCCCAAAAGGCCGCCGCAGGACATCGTTGCGTACCTTCAAAACGAGCTGTAAAGTTCCCCTGGCCCCTCGCAGTGCCTGGTTATGAAAATACTTCGTTCATATTTTGATTTCATCAGCAGGCTTTTGGCGGTAATAACTGGACAAGAAGGCAATCGAGAGACAGGCATAAAACATATTCGAATTGCAGGGGAATCGTAAAATGCAGGTAAATGGGTAATGGATAAGAGATTACAGGGTTAGGAGGGGATGGGAGTTAAAAAATGGCTTCAAAATTCATTTTAAATGTTATCCACTTTCTATAAAATATTAGGA